CGCGGTGTTGAAATTGTGATTGCTACACCTGGCCGCCTACTCGATTTCCTAGAGCGGGGCGTAACCAACTTGCGCCGTTGTACTTATCTAGTATTGGATGAGGCTGATCGCATGCTAGATATGGGATTTGAACCACAAATTCGGCGTATAATAAAGCAGATTCGCCCAGATCGTCAAGTGTTAATGTGGTCGGCGACATGGCCAAAAGAAGTGCGCAATCTTGCTGAAGAATTCCTTGATAACTATATACAGATTAACATTGGCTCACTAACACTTTCAGCCAATCACAATATACTTCAAATAGTAGATGTGTGCGAAGAGAATGAGAAAGATAATAAGCTCATAAAGCTTTTGTCGGAAATTTCTGCCGAATCCGAAACGAAGACAATTATCTTCGTGGAGACAAAGAAACGCGTCGATGAAATAACCCGTACTATTGGGCGTAGTGGATGGCGCGTGTGTGCTATTCATGGCGACAAGTCGCAACAAGAGCGTGATTTTGTTTTGTCGTCATTTCGTAATGGACGGCACTCAATTTTGGTAGCAACCGATGTGGCTGCACGCGGCCTAGGTAAGACTAATTTTCCTTACATTCCTCGCCGCTGCCGCTATATAGCTGCGGCTACGGCGATAACTTGACTCTTTGATCGTAGCTGCGAGTGATGCTGTGGACGAAATGCTGAAAATTCTATCATTATTACTTTGTTGGTTCGATGGCGAATTATATTTTTTTGTCATGATGCGAATCAGCGAAACCCAACGCCTTAATAATTGTTTCGAATGCGTCCAATTAAAGATAAGATGGGGTATAATTATAAGTTCGTTAAAAAAAAAACAAGCGGGTAAAGTTTGGAGTTAAAATTTAAAGCCAACTGCTCATAAAAACACTGAATGCAATAATTTTGCGGACGATTCGCTGAAAAAGGTGTGGGTAAATAATGAGGAATGTGTATTTCCATACATTACTGTCAGGTTACGGGTCATATTAATTAACTAGGATTGTATTTTGTATGTTTATGTACCTATATAAAAAAGAATAGTGTCAGTCAAGGAAACTGTGGCCGCAAAATCTGAATAGAATAGTATATTTTAGCGGGCGTGACTGTGCTTATCATGACAGCTGTTTGGTTACTTAAAAGGACTACTTATGTAGGAGTTATGACTGGCTACTTATTTTTTTTTATAATTCGTCATTTAATTTGTTTAGAATAAAAGCAGTAACTGATTCATTTCATATAAAAGTTAATATCAAAAAACAATCGTTAATTTCCTGTTGTAAAATCTTATTTAATGCCAATACTTAAAGCGTTGCTTACTATATAAAGGCTTTTCAGCGTTTGTACATACGGAAGTCGGTAAGAGTCAAATCTGTGCCATTAGATCAGCAGCAGTCATTAGCATGGTTAGGGGGACAAACACTTGCGGGTTTCAATAATTAGAAAAACAACGCACATTGTTCAGAGTTTGGGCCTAATAATTTTTGACTGGCAGTTGCATTTTTTCAGTTATTACAATTTATGTGTGAACAAAAATATCAACTTCACCGTTTCTTCAAATGGACTTCGATTTTTTCTTGTATATAAAACTATGAAAAAGTTTATAACTTCCTAAAATATTTCAAATGCGAAAACACGGCCTATCAGAACAAATGCTAAAATCTGTTTCTGCAGTTTTGTTTTTGATAGTTAACAAATCATGCTTGATAAAGAAAAGCTAAATTCAGATTTAGTATTTATTAGCAATAAGTAAACACTTAGGTTATATATAATTTAACAAAAAAAAGGCAGTAATGTAAATATATCATAGCTAAAAAAAGTAAACGCGCAAATGCTGTGCTTCAAGTTCGGCTTAAACAATCCGGTGCGCATACGTACTATGTGTGCTGGAGTCAAGCTGGGTAATAAAAATATGGGAGCTCACTGCAAATACCTATTGTGTATGTAAAGACATTGCGAGTACGCTTAGCTCGTGCTTGCGTTCTGTGCGCTCGCTTGTTTGCTTGTTCAACATCCTTGGTTTTCTTCTCACCCTACCACAGCTGCGCTCAACACATCCCTTAATTGTAAATTCAGGTCTGTGCCGGAATTCGGTAAGTACGTTGCTTTCTCTTCTCATTAAAGTCATTCAGAAAACCAATTATTATTTCTGTCTGCTTTTGGTTGTTAGTCTTTTAAGTATACTATATGAATTAAGCTTCCAACTCCGTGTATACTGCCTACGCATTTTAATAAAATGATTTTATAATTTCGAAAATCTTTAATACCAAAGAAATTGAAAAATTTAAGAAACATACAAGCATACAAGGAAAAAATCGTTGAAGGTCGAGGTCCACTTAAAAATATTGCAAAACTCCAATCATGCCAATTAAATTATAAAGTTGTAAAATATTTCACTTTTCTTGCAATGTTGGAGAAATTTTTGTTCAATTTATATGCTATGATGTATATTTTTTTGCCAGCGTGCACTCTAAATAAATATTTTTAATTTTCGACGTTTGCATCGAACGAACGCGAATTAACGACTATTCCTACAACGCACGTCGTTCAATGCTTTTAAAACCCTAAACTGAACAGATGTTGACGATGTTAAATTCGTAATTAATTACGATTATCCTTCGAATTCGGAGGACTACGTGCATCGCATCGGGCGTACAGGGCGCTCGAACAATACGGGAACGGCATACACCTTGTTTACCACTTCAAACGCCAACAAAGCTAATGACTTGATACAAGTGCTGCGCGAAGCTAATCAGGTAAAAATATTCAAAAATTATACATAAAATTATTTAAAATAAAACTTTCGTATTACATCTAACGAACGTTAGGCTAACAATTTTTTGTGTGGTTACTTCTTTTTCATGTACTTTTTGCAGGTCATCAATCCACGACTTGTTGAGATGGCATCATCTTCGGGCTATAATAATAAACGCAACTCGCGTGGTGGCTATCAGAATCGTGGTGGTATGGGTGGTGGTGGTGGCTACGGCAATCGCGGTAATCGCTCTTATGGTAACAATGCTGGCGGCATGGGTGGCGCTCAATCATATCAGCAGCGTCCACCACAAATAGCTAATGGTGGCCAAATGTATCAACGTCCGAGTGGACCACCTTCTCGATTCTCAGCCGCTCCTCAAGCTGGCTACGAACGCAACCAGCACACCGGTGCCAATAAGCCTTATGGTGCCGGTGCTGGAGCCGAAGGTGGTGATAAGCGACGTTTCAATCCCCAGCAACAACCGCCACAGCAGTCTTTAGGTTATCAGCAGCAACCCCCGCGCATGTCATATGGAGGCAATAATGCACACCATCAACCGCCGCCAAATCACCGGGCGGCAGGCAGTGCTTCTGCTGGTGCATCCGGAATGTACGCACATGCACCTCCTTCTCATCATTCAGGAGGCAGTAACTATGCCGTTCCCTCTGGATTTGGAGCGGCGTCCGGCAATAATATGTTTGCTTATCCCCCGCCCCCATTGCCCGCGCAAAACTAAAAACCCATACTATAGAAGTAATTTTAACATCATCAGTAATTTAAAACGTAATGAATTAACTTCTGCACTTGGCATTTGATTAGATTAAATTATGTTATTCTTGTGTGTGTGTTGTACTAATGTACGCCAAGTCATAGTACGCAAGTGTTTTGTAGCATGACGGATATTTGAAGGAGATCCGCACTGCAATGCTTCAGTTCAACTTAAACGTACCGGAAATACTACTTGTTTGGGTGGTTGTTTTGGTTCAACATTTATTTCTAAGCTGTGCATTTCTTTTACTTTACATCTTATTTGATTGTATTGTTGTTGTCTCTGTTTCCTTTTTTTTTTATAATTTACACATCTTTACACCGCAACTTCGTGACAACGGGCTTTTCCAAAGTTCTTGCGCAAGCCTGCACTAATTTTTATTTAATTTTTGAAACTTTTGCAAGAAGTGTTTTTTTTAACCGAATTGGAACTATGATTGTTTCCAATGCAGAGGTTTTATCTCCAGTATAGATCACGGCTATGTCATCGAGCATACAGCTATATTCATTACATCAACATAAATGATCACGTTCATCAAACTTTAAAAATAAATGCTAGTTATTACAATATATTAACATAGTTGAAGTGAATTGTATTCCTTGGATTTTAATGGATATATTAATGTTTACGTACCATAAAATTTAAACAAATATACTTCAATAAAAGTATATACATAAATATGCCTAATAACACATGGTATATTTAAAACCCCTATACAAATATCTTTTGAACTTTTAAAATATGGGGTGCGTTCAGAAATGCATCAAGCCAAAGCATCAGTCTCTTTTTTACTTCCAAATTATAACTCCTGCAGACGCGTTATTTGCGCAACTAAGTTCCAATTAGGCATTTAACCGTGGTTGCGCATATGGCATATTTCTATCAATTACAGTTTAGAAATAAATGCGTCTTATGCTTAATGCATTTCTGAACATATCCATGGCTGATAAACGGATAGTAAGTATTTATGAAGAGAATAAGTGTTTGCAAAACCTCCGATTAACGGAATAAGAGCTAAAAAATATTGGGGCGCTTTCTTGTTTCCGTACGAGTCGAAAATCTTGAATTTTTCCATCATTTCCATATAAAAATTTCAAATATTCGATACGTACGAAAACAACAATATGCCCTTATGTTAAAAGAAAATTATTAAATATGAATATCTACAAATCTATAAGGCGTGTTATGTCATCAGAGGGTGGCCGAAATTGATTTTTATCGTCAAAGTATGTAACATCAGACTTGAATTTCTCGTCGGCACAAATGCCCAGCTAAGCACCTATTTTCACAAAGTTATAAACCATTTTCCTTTGCAATGCCCATAGTATAGGTTATTAGGTTACCTTAATTTAAAAATTTTTATTTTAGAGGATAAGCAAAAACAAAAAGAGTATCAAAAGCAGGTTGGGCTTTTTAAAAAGTGGCATGTAGCTGCATTGTTTTTGGTACTAACACTTCACAATTTCTATTGAAGGTGTATTTTAATATATCCTACCAAAATCATTGAAAAACCAGAGACTTAAAATTATTATTCTAATATTTGAGAACAAAAATGTCGCCTTGTTTAAGAGAATTTTTTTTTCGTCTTTGTATAACTTTATTACGAGAAATAACTTTTTTCGGCTCGCTGGACGATTATTTTCAGATGGAAATCATGGTGTAATAAGTAATAATAATAATAAAATATAACAATAAATAATAATGGTGTTATTATTCCACCATGGGTTTTACCATCCCTGCAAGAACAGCGACTATCATTTGACAAATCATTTGAGTAGCAAGACTAATAAGAGATTCCTATCACTGGCTACCTACAAGTTAATAGGTTTGTTCGTCGAGCAAAAAATTTGTACGAATTATCACAATTTTTGCCCAAATCGCGTTCGTGAAGACCAAAAAATTATCCAACACTCAAAAATTGTGAGAGCAAAGTGACAGTTCTCTTGGAGAGAAGTTGCAAATTCTTCCTGGAAAAAATTTTGCCAGCAAGAATTTGCAAACACGAAAAACATGTGGTTGTGGCGCATGGTTGCATTTTTTGTCTACAATAATTTGAATAAATTAGTTCGTTAAATTTAAAAATTTATAAACGAGCGACTTTTTTATGAAAAAAAGGATGTAAATAATTGTTGATATAATTAATTTAGTTAATTCCAATGATTTGAACTTAATTCGGCTGAAAAAAATTGTATTCGGTATCGGAATGCAATTGCAACCAGAGTCCATTTAAGAAACCTGACAGCTATTACGATGAAGAAATTGAAATGTATGTTAAAGAAAGTCAGAACAACAAGAAATATACATGTATATCCTATTTTTGGCCATCCGAAAGAATGTAAAAATTTACAAAAATTTTTTATGTTTGAAATGCAACCGTGGACGCCAGCTGGCAGGGAAACTTGCAAATTCTTGCAAATTTGCGTTCGTGCAGAAATTTGCAAGTTTCTCAACATGAGAGAGAATTTTTTCTTACTCTCTGATATTTTGAGTGTTGGATAAATCTTGCTGGATTTTCGACGAACAAACCTATTATCAAATTAGGAGCGTTCCTTATCTCCCAGAAATAGTCGGAAAAGTCCGAAGTAGTCAGATTTAGTCCAAAAAGCGTTCCTTAACTCGGAAATGACAGCAAAAATGAGAGAGCAACACTCAGTGAGAGTGGCCCATATTATGAGTTGCATTCGATTTTCGACTGTGGTCGAAAGTGCTGAGCGAACGAATTTTCATTTGGTATTATGGCGCTCATTCGATGAAGAATTGCGCTATTGTGAATTTCGCTCGTTTAGGTTGTTCACAATAGTATATTTTTCACCGCTGAGAAGCTTTGTTTACAAATCGAGCAAACTAAATAGTGTGCTTATACATATTTATGTAAATTTGTTCTAATTAAAATGAAGTAAAAAAGAAAGCAAGTTTATAAAAACGTGGTAAAATGAGTACAACGAGTTCTGGTTCAACGATTCGTCAGAGGATGAGAGCTTAGTAAACTGGCCAGGAGTAGCAAATGTTTAAGAGAGTATAAGTTTATTAGTCTTTCGAATATATTTTGATATAAAATATATTTAAGAAATTTGTCTACAGATTCATTAAAAAGTTCCGACCATCTAAAGAAGCGTTTGTGCGCCAAATCTATTTAAAATATTTTAAAACTATCAACAGCGTTACGATTTTGTTCTCAGAGGTCGTGCCAACAGAGTGTTGGGATTTTCTTTCCCAAGTAAAACCAGCCTTTCGAGCTTGTGTTTAGTATTCACGACGTTAGAACTGCATGAAATTAATAAAAATTGTTTAAAATTTGTGTCTAGCCGCCAAAATGTAAGAAAACATATACAAAATCATAAATTTTTCACAATTTTCTAACACTTCGCTACACCATCGAAAGCAAAATTCTGTTCGACAGAAAATTCGATACTCAACGAAAATTTCGACACGCTTGCATAGCTCATAATACGAATTTCACTTTCGATCTTCGATCTTCGATAGCCAGCGAAGATCGAAAATCGAATGCAGCTCATAATAAGGGCCATAATATTTGAAATTTTTGTATGGAAATGATGGAAAAATTAAAAATTTTCGACTCGTACGAAAACAACAATATGCCCTTATGTTAAAAGAAAATTGTTAAATATGAATATCTACAAATCTATAAGGCGCGTTATGTCGTCAGAGGGTGGCCGAAAATTGATTTTTATCGTAACGCTACGCGCACACTGCCGAATTGTGCTCGGCCGATATCGGCTATATACGGGCGATATGAATAAACACTTGTAATTATATGAGCGCTCTCACACATAAACCGATAATCGAACCGACATCGGCCGTTGACGTCCGTCAGTGACGATAAATTCAAACCAGTGTTGGCATTTTTGGTACAATTGTACTTTTTAAATACAATTTCGTTTACAATATACATATATGTAATACTTCTATATATTATAAATTGCTAGTACATTCAAAGTACATTCCCCAACATCAGAGTGTCGATATATTAAAAAAAGAAAGAGAGATCCGATAAGAGAATCATATATGTAATACTCCTATATTGGCAGTAAGAGCTAGTACCGTCCGAAAACACTACAGTACAGATATATCAATAAACACGTACGAAAGAAAAGGAAAACATACGTTTATAAATAAACCTGTACACAACACATATACAAAAACGGCACTCAAGTACACAATACATTGACAAAAACGGTACTAGACTGTCCCGCTTTGATTTCGGAATGCTTATACCATGTCCCCACCAAAAAGTTAACCATCTCAAATCGAACTTAACCACCTCACTAACTATTGCTGTCCACACTGCGGATTGAGGTTTATAAAACAGTACAAATGTAAAGAACAGTGTTCGGACGTCCCAAAAACGGATCAGGACTAAATTGCTGCAAAAATCGGAGAAAAAACAAATTTTCCGTACTAGATTGAATTTTTGTTACTGACATTAATTGTTTGACTAAAATATTTTCTATTCACGCAAAATAAATACCTACGCGAGGCAATTTAAGGATATGTTACATATTTTGGTAATTTTTAGCATTTTCTATATAGTAGAACGTATCTAACACTTAATTTTTAAAAAAGCAAACCTTTTCTACTTTATATAAATTTCATTCTACATGTATTTTTTTAACAACTTAAGTTAAGTTCTGCATCCGCCAATTTGTACAACAACAACGAAGTTGCAAAACAAAAACAACGAAGTTACTTTATTGAGGCATTGCTATGAAAGAGTTACTTTTTAACAGTGAGATTTGGCTAGCTTTCATTTTTTTTTACTGAAACTTGTGGTGAACACTCAAAAAACAGCCCCAAGAGGGGCATAACATGAATGAAAAAAACGGAATTGATTTGAAGTCAAGCGGAGTAGAGGACTTGATTTCAAATATTTTTAAAAACCGGAGTAAATCTAATCTGATTTTAGCTGAGTCCAAACAATAGTAGGGAACGAATTCTTTACATTTTAACGCTAATGACCCACAGATGGCGGGAAAACACAGGGTTGTATCAGACTTTCGACGTGGTTTCGAGTTGGTTAGCTTTTAACCATCTCAGTGAAATGGTTAAGTGCTGTCATTTTTATATGGCGAAATTACGCTAAATCAAGTGGGTTATCGGGATAACCAACTCAATAGCCATAACTACGTGGTTAGCTCCGGTGGGGACATGGTATTACACATTGAGAAGTTAGCTTACTGCCAATATAGAAGTATTACATATATGAAGAGAATGTACCCAAAACGACAATTTTACTTTTCAAAATTCAGGAGCGGATTAACAAATATTCACTGAAAAAAAATTCATTCATATAAAGAAAAAATGTAAAACACTGAACAATAAAACCACACGGCTTCATGCGTAAGTAAATTTTTTCTGGCTTGGAAACAATAAAACCATTAACCATTTTTCAGTTTTCCAAGGAACGAAGAGCAGCAGAGAAAGTGGAAAAATGCATTTCAGTGCTGCAGACTACAAAGCCACTCTAAACGTTAGGTACTTTCGAGATGATGCTTCACCATCATTGTTGTTGCCAGCACAGGTAATACAGCAATCATTCACCTCTATTCAGGGCTGTCATGGAATCCAAGTCGGTTTTGCTTTTTGTCGGAATTACAAACCAATACTGGTTTCATTTGGTGTCATGAAACTGG